TTTTTTTTTTTTGGCCAGCTCAGCCCACCCTGAGGTTGGAGCTGGCAGGACATGCATGTGATGCTGGGGACTGAACCATGCATGACCCTCTGTGTCTGCCTAAGCAGGCACTTTAGACCGCTGAGCTATCTTGCCAGCCCCTAGCATTTTAACTTTTTGACTTTTGGTCAAACTAAGGTCACTCATATGCTATGCATGTATGTACTTTTTCTTTTTTGGTGTTACCAGGGATTGAACACACGAATAGTTTACCACCGAACTACAACCTCAGCTTTTGATTTTTTGAGAACCACACGTCAAGATGGCCATCTGATGGCCAGGCCCACGTGCCTCCCTAGAGATAAACAGCAGCTGGAGATCACACTGTCATTAGCACCACCTGATCCAGAGGCCCAGCCAGTGCATCAGACACGAGTGTGTAACCAAAACACCCTGACACATACTCCCCTCCCTTTCCAGACAAGCCCTGTTCTATGTCAGAAGTTAACATGTTAAAGCTACATGCTTTATTTCCCTATTGGATCAATATCAGCTAAGGAACTTGTCTTGTAACTCTATAGGTTCGTAGTGTGACCCACACTGGTAGCTACCCATGCTGTAATTTTGCTTTATAAAACATCCTCAGACAAATACCCTCTGCGGCAAACCGCCTTCAGATCCCTCCTGTACTTCATGAGCTTTGTCTCAATAAACCTTTCCTACTCTTAACCTCTTTTATCCTCAAATCCACTGTTTGATGTCTAAAGAATCAAACCTGGCACATTTAACTTATAACAGATTGGAAGTTCTTTCCCTGGGACAGTCCCTCTGCTGGAAACCTTGCGCTGCTTCCCATTTTGTAGAGTTAAGGCCTAAGGTTTTTTTTGTTTGTTTGTTTTAATTTTAGGGAAGAGTCTACAGGGTGTTCAAGGTATTCAGGATCTTACTACTAGATTGGACATGTAGTGATCCACCTGTTTACAGCCTCCCAAGAGCTGGGACTATGCCCAGTCTCAATTGCTATCTCAGCATGCCCTGGTGGCAGGCCAGCACAGCAGGTCCAGGGATCCGAACCCTGGCCCCTGCGCCTGCTTGCAGGCGCTTTAATCCGCTGAGCTATTTGGCTGGCCCTAAGGCCTAAATTCTTTTTTTTTTTTTTTTTTTCAGAACCAGGGATTGAACTCAGGCCCTTGTGCTTGCCAGGCAAGTGCTTATTCTACTGAGCCATCTCCCCGGCCCCCTAAGGCCTAAATTCTTACAATAGCCTGCAAGACCAGCGCTGCATTGCGTCCTGCCATTCTTTCTGGACTCTCAATTCCTCCACTACCACACACGCCTCTTAATCTCTTAACTTTCTCTAATACCAGTCTCTCCCCTGCTGCGGGCCTCAGTCCAGTTTTCTGGCAGTGCGGGAACGCCCTCCCCCAGGTAGTTCCCAGCTCACTCCATCGCCTCCTCTCTGGCACTGCACTAATCTCACCTAATCTGGCCCAGGGCCTATCCTGTCTAATAACTGCACCATCCTCTCTTGCCACATCCTGGTCCTTTCATAGCATTTGACACTTTCGAAAAATTCAGTAATTCTTCAACTTCTACTTTCCTCCCGTATTCACTGTACTTCCAGTCCACGTGACCCGTCTGTCCTGGTCACTGCTGTTTCTCAAAGAAACTAAAATAAGGCGGGGCACATGGTAAGCGTCCAGCATACAACTCAGAGGCCAAACCATTAATTTTTAAAAGCTCAATCCCCTACCACCGAGAACTTAGATTGCTTACAGCCCTTGTGAAGGAACACGCTCCCTGCGTCAGCGCCCACCTCGCTCCTGGCGCAGGAAGCGCCCAGCACTCGCGCTGTCCCCGCAGCCAGCGTCCGCGACCAATCCTAGAACGCGCTGGCGCTTCTGCGCGTGCGCAGCCCGCGTCCGCCCTGCGCCTGCGCGAGTGGCGGGCTCCGCCAGGCCGCAGGCGCGGAACGTGGCCGCTCTCTCAAGGCTTTCGCCTACCCGCCTTCCGTGGGACTAGCCAGGCGCCTTCCCTGACTCCTGTTCGCTGAAAGAATGGCCAAGGTTCGGCGGGCCCACACAGAGGCCAGAGCTTGAGCTCGGGATACCAGCGGTGAATTTGCGTCCGGCTTCGATCTGGCCGGCCCCGGGTGCGAGGCGGCGCGTGGTTATGACGTCAGCGCGCGACGGCTCCCAAAGGACCCGGAGTCGGAAGCTGGAGCTGAGGTCGTTGGGGCGCAGCACCCCCTGCTGCCCACGTAGGAGAACGTGTGTGGTGGCGGAGTGCGGGGTGCGGGGCTGGAGGCACAAGTAAATGCGAGGAGCCCTCATGGAAATTTATTCTTTTTTTTATTCATGTATTTATCTTTTATTTTTTATAGGCCTGTCAGTTGTTTTATTTTTTATGCTTTTTCTAAAATTTAATTGAGAAATATGAGACAGTTTCAAAGCTGATTAATAGGACAGGTTTTTTTTGTTAAATAGGACAGTTTTGATAATCAATACATTGTTATCTTCTTAGTGGTTATCCATAGTGCAAGAAGCAGATAGGATATCCTGTCCAAACACTATTAGTACACCTCTTTCTTCTCAATAAATTAAGCGAAAGTAGCTCTATATCTATCCTATTTTGTATATATAAATACAAAATGATCTTTACTTTGTA